TACAGTCCGGTAGTCCCTAGGTGGTGTTCTCAGCCCGCCTTGCGTGCGAATCGCTATAGCGCCCTGCATGGCGCTGCATTATAAATACATGTTAGGCCCAATGATTTAACTTAAATAATGCATTGCTGCATTTCATTCTGAAAATAATATCATCTATTCAAGTATAAAACTCCCAAACAAATACAAGCAGAGGAGAAAATAAAGATAAAAGAAAACATAAAAAGAACAAAAAAAATTAACTGCCAGCGGTAATGAGGTAAATATGTAACCAAGTTATATTTTTACATATATCAAATGTTTTCCTTGCTTTGGCATTTTTCACGTTCTTTATGGAATTTAAATACAATTTAAACCCCACCTCAAAAGTACTAAAAGAGGGAGGTATTACTAAAAACTTTTGACTTATGAATATGAAATTTACCCAAGATTACTAATAAATTAATTACTGTATAAATAAATGTTATTTTTTTTCAAATTTGCTCTTACATAGTAAAACAAAATATCTAAATCCTTAATATAAAATCTTAGTATTCTATATTTCCAGAGAATTCCCATGATGTGAATTGAATGTGGTCTGTCTGGTGATCTCTGTCGCTGAAGTTGGCGCAAGAGGTAGCCAGTTTAAGAAGCACTTAGTGATTAACGAGTGAGTCGGGGAGCACGTAGATTATGAAGGATTTAACGTGCTACTTTAGTTATGATGGGTTTTGGGAAACACTCGTAAATTAACGATAGGTCTTAAGATCACGTTTACGATGTTCTTAGCGTTACGATGCTTTCGGGAAACTCGCCCCAGATCGCATTTGCTCCTTTATTTCTCACAGTTAAATTAGCTAATGGTTTAAAGCAAAGACATAATAGGCTGCCCTGACAGGATAAAATGAGGTCTTATAAATGTATTAATGAAATAGATTCTAAAACATCATACTTTCTTTATGGAGCCTACGTAAAATAAGTCGTCGTATCACATTCGACATCGCAAATAGTTGCCGTGTTATATATAACAAGGTATTTTGTACTGCCATTGAACTGTATCTACGTAGTAATTAAAATGTTAATTGTTTTGCACCAATTTATATGAAAATACTTTATTTTAAATTTCTCTCTTCAAAAACAGGGGAAGAAACAAACTTTGTAGTATATATGTGGTCCACTGCACGCATGACATATTTCTAAGTGTTGATTATTCCATTTTTTATTTTTTACACAGAATACATTCAATTAAGTTATGCTAATATGTCTCAAGTATTCTTTAATACATAGAAATGACATTTCTATATGCATGTAAGGTATTGAAAATTATTAGGTATAAACATACATTGGTTTATTTTGTTTTTAGAGCTATTATTTCATAAGAACAAAAATAATTTCAGTTAGAATAGTAAAACATATAAATATATTAAATATAGAATTATTATCATATTCATCATTTTGAGGAGAAGTCTTTGTGAGTCTCCAATTTTAAGGGAGAATAGCAGTGGTTAGGACTGTGGACCTAGGAGAGGTTAATGGGTTCAGTTCCCATATGGGATACTGATGTCATAGTTGTGATCAAGGTGCTGTACTTTACTCCAATTGCTCCAGTAAATGTGCTGCTGTAACATGGATATTCAAGTTATTATTGCAAATGAGAATCTGTTCTTCATTGATTTATTATATATTGACTATAATAACACATATATAATTATGTATTATAATGTATTTCAAAATAAAAGAATAAAACATACTGCATTAGGCTTTGGATGCAAAAGAGAGAAGCTAGATCATGATGAGAATCAGTGTTCGATTACACTGTCAGAGATTTTCAGGAGGCTTTAAGATTTTCCACTGTCACCATCTTGTGACAAAAACATGTGGTTGAAGTAGCATGAAATACGTGGGATGATACAAAAATAATTTAGGTACTAATCTGGATACAACTGTACACTGCGAAACTAGGGAAATTAGAATGTATCCACAGAGAGCTTCAAAAAGGATGATCATTTTTGTATTTTGTATTTTACGGATACAGCTATATTATATCTAGCTGCTTAATTAGTCCTTGTGTTTGGGAATGTGGGAAGATAAGTAAACTGTACACAGAAGTACAGTTCCCAAGGCTGATTTTTTAAGAAGAATATCAACAACAACATGTTTCATTCATAGAAGAACCAGACTTGCTTAATATATTTTAACTGTGTATTTAATTAACATGCCTGTAAAATTACAGTTATTTTGTTGCACTTTAATAGAATTTCATTAGTTTGCCATAAGTACTACTTTAAAAAGAAACTGTTGTGACTTCTAAAGAAATGTGTAGGTGTGTTTTTAAATTGCATTTCTTTCTTTTCCAGACAATGGCTCCTCGACCGGAGCTGGAGAATGCTTCTTCAGGAAAACCCAAAGACCCCGCTCAGGGACTAAGTGGTACATTTTGTTTTTAATGATACTGTAGCAGCATTTTTTTTTCATGACAGCACTTAATTTAAAACAAGAGAATTAACATTTCTGTTCTTTTTCCTGTTTCATCTCAACCGTTGGTTCAGGGGTACTACCAAAGGAGCCTGTGATTCACCCAGCCTGTTCCACCGTAGCATTGGTGAACGATGAAGCAGAAGATCCTTGGGCCCTTCCTGAACTCCAAAGTGTGGGAGTCAAGTGGTCAGGTAAAAAAATGCCCCAAAACGTCCCTTCACTCTTCCTAGTTAGGATAAATTCTTCCTTAATTACACTGTCCACTAAGAACCACCTATTGTGACTGTGGAAAACAATAACAGCCATTTGTTTCTTCTCAGAACCCTTTAATTTGTTGTAGTCAACCCACCATCCATACATGTACAGTGGCGCCATGATCTTTACTGACTCAGTCTCAGTCTGACTCAGTCTTACTGACTCAGTCGTAGAATCTTAGTTTCATTCTTTGTCTCCTGTTTGTCTTAAAAGTATTACTTTGGTCTTTTTAAGTTACTGATTTTTTTCCTCCTTTGATTTATTTTCTATTCATTAAGACTTGGACACCAAAGGAAAGATTCTCCGTGTTCTAATTTCTATTGGAAAGTTTTTTTTACTGCTTGGATTCCTTTACATGTTCGTCTGCTCCTTGGATATCCTGAGTTCTGCCTTCCAGCTTGTAGGAGGTAGGAAAATAAAGAAAACAGGAATATAATAATATATACACAATGCTATTTTTGTCTGCTTTTTGTTATGTTTTACTGTAGTTGGTGTTCAAATTGAAATAGCAAAACTGTTTTTTTTATAGAGCTTAGTTTATAAATTAGTCATACAGTAAATAGCTTAGTAATAGATTTAGTAAGAAGGTCTAGATGTGAGACGTTCGATTATATTCAAAATCCTTAATAGCATAAGTAGGTCCAGTGATAATTAATTGTTCAAACTCCTCAACAGGGAAGGCGGCAGGTGACATTTTCCAAGACAATGCTGTGCTGTCAAATCCTGTGGCTGGACTGGTGATTGGAGTTTTGGTTACAGTGCTAGTTCAGAGTTCTAGCACATCTTCCTCAATCGTGGTTAGCATGGTTTCCTCTGGGTGTGAGTATTTTTTTTTTAAATGATTTGGGACTAGGGTTAAAACCATTTATTAATTGAAATGGCAGATACCTCAAAACCTAAAGGGAAAAGTAACACTCATTTTCAGCCAAAATATTGTCAGAACAAGATTAATTTACAGGCAACTTAAAAAATGGAAAGTTAAATTATATAAAATCTGTCCTGAACATGTTGAATTTCATATTATGTAGATAACAATGCAAAATAACTCATAGTCCTTTTATCAACAGTTATACAGTACTACAGATTATTAAAGTGTTGTGTAATAATATATGCAGTACCACAGTTTCATACAGCATTTTGGAAAGAAATAAACCCTATATTTTCTCATTATTTTCTGTATGTGTAATAGTGTTAGAGGTCCAGTCTGCTATACCTATTATAATGGGGGCCAACATTGGAACCTCTGTGACTAACACCGTTGTGGCAATGATGCAAGCTGGAGACAGAAACGAGTTTCGGAGGTATGGATTACACTAATGCCCAAACAGGAAGTCCAGACTTTCTGGATTTAAATAGTAGTATTTAAACTGATTATAAAACGTTGGGTTTTGTGTTAGGTAACTATTAAATAAAGGTAAATTTTGTAAAAAACAAATGTAAATTATTTAATGTTGCTTACCTTTTGTAGAAAAAAAAGTTTCTCTAATATTAGATATATACTTTATTGATCCCGTGAGGGAAATGGCCAGTTATTATGGCCAGTAGCCATATCACCTTGCGACTCAAAACTGACAGCCCACTAAAGTTAAGCAGGTGTGAGCCTGGCTGGTACCTGGATGATATTACCTCCTTGGAAAAACTACGAAGTGATGTTAGTGGATCAGGAGGGGGCGCTCACCCTCCACTTTGTGTGGGTCCTGATGCCCCAGTATTGTGACAGGGACACTATACTGTAAAAAAGGCGCCGTCCTCCAGATGAGATGTAAAGCTGAAGTCCTGACTCTTTGTAGCCATTAAAAATCCCAGGTTGTTTCTAGAAAAGAGTAGGGGTTTTACCCCACGTCCTGGCCAAATTTCCCATTGACCCTTACCAATCATGGCCTCCTAATAATCCCTATCTATTAATTGGCTTCATCACTTGTTTTCCACCCCACTGGTAACTTGTGTGGTGAGCATTCTGGAGCACTATGGCTGATGTTGTATCATCCAGGTGGATAGGTGGTGGAGGAGTCTCCATTACCTGAAAAGTACTTTGAGAGGAGTGTCCAGAAAAGTGCTATATAAGTGTAAGTAATTAATTATAATTATAAATCTTAAAATACATCATTTCAATAGGATGCAATAGGGTAATAAAATAATGCTTTGAAATGTTTTTTTAATATTTCATTTAATTCCTCAGGGCTTTTGCTGGAGCCACAGTCCATGATTTTTTTAACTGGCTCTCAGTACTTGTGCTATTACCGCTCGAGGCAGCAACTGGCTACCTGTACCGTCTGACACAGCTGGTCATTGACTCATTTAATATCCAAAGTGGGGACGATGCCCCGGATTTGCTGAAAGTCATCACAGACCCCTTAACAAAGACAATCATTCAGGTAAGAAACCTAATTTGCAAATTCTACAGATCAATCCTTGTTCTTTGTCAGCAAGCTTTCTAGATCCCTGTTAAGCAAAAGAACCTAAACTGCTGGGAGAAGGTGTTAAATTGGTCAATTAAACTAATTAATGAGGTGGTTTACATCATTAAGAGATTAGTTGAAATGAAAACCTGCAGACGTACCAGCCCACTAGGATGATGATTGTACGTCCCTGATATACAGTAGATTAACATTTGGGTAGGTGCTGGAAAAATCAAAGTTTCTTTCAGGAGCTGCCACGTCTCTTACTGAAGCTTCTGTAGCAGGTGTTAGCTGTTCTCTATTATTTACCTATAATATGTTTACCTAAATTATATACATTGAGTTAAATTATTTGAGCAAAATATACTGTATAAAGAAGGATTAATTAAACAGTGGCATTCTGTTTTTCTGGACTTGGGATGCTATCTGTGTGGAGTTTGTTTGTTCTCTCTGTGTTTCCGTGGGTTTCCTCCAGGTGCTCCGGTTTCCTGCCACAGTCTAAAAAAGCATATTGGTAGGCTAATTGGCTTCTCGGAAAATTAACCGTGGTGTAAGTGTGTGCGTGTCTGCCCTGCAATGGACTGGTGTCCTGTCCAGGGTGAATCTTGCCTTGCACCCATGACTCTAAACTGGATGAAGAAGTTAGAAGATGGATAGATTGTTTGAAAATCATTCTATAAATATGAAATGACTTTAGAAGACACTAATTGATTCTGGGTGTTCTGATTATACATTTTGTCATGCGGGTAACTTTTAATTTCTGAAAATTATTTAGCTAATTTATGATGATGAGAATCAGAGCTCTTGTTTTTAGTACAAATTTCTTCAAAGAAGGGTGTTTCAAATATAAATATGCTTTTCTTTTAGCTTGACAAATCTGTTATCAATGAAATTGCTACTGGTGATCCTGCAGCAAAGAACAAAAGCCTGATCAAAATCTGGTGTAAAACTCAAACAATCATGGTAAGTAAACTTCCAGCAGGTAATGTTCTAGTGACCATATACAAGTATCCTGTAATAATACATTCATTTTTGTGCATTCAGTATTACTGTATTATGTTACCATATAAGGTACGTACTGTATACCGAAGAGAAGTAAACTGAATCTGACTTATAACAAAATGTTAAGGTTTACATTAAGTGAAAATACCCAGTTAATTAATATAGTAACTGTTAAGGGTCAGAGGAGATGCAAGCAAAGTTTTAACAAATAGTGTGACATGTAAGTAGATTTTAAAAACAACAAAGTGTGTGTAAATTAAGTTCAATATACACTTAGTATTTAAAGAAAGCAATAGTTAATTATTTCTCAAATATGCTACCATTAGCCCTGTAAAAAAGGGGAAGACGGGTAAAACACAAAAAGACATTAAAATGAACTTTTTAGGAAGATAAGGTACTGTACTTATACAGTACATACAATTAGAGTTCAGGGAGTTCTTTCTTGCTTTAAATTTGTGGTTTATAGTCACATTAAATAGTGTGCATTTGTACATTGAATACTCAACCTACTCCAGCTTTTAATACTGAATGTCTCTCAGCTTCCAAATCGTCAGTGATATACCTTTTCTATTAAGTTGTTTGTTTGTTGCTGCAGACAGAAAAGAATGTGACAGTGCCTGGGACTGAAAACTGCACTTCTCCCAGTCTCTGTTGGTCAGATGGCAATATCACATGGACCCTGAAAAATGTTTCTGAAAAGATAAACATTGCGAAATGTAAGTGCCACTACATGTCTAATCAAAGGCAACCTAAAAATAAATCAATTGACAAAATGTGAGTTATCATCTGTGTAAACACAAAATATCCCACTGGAGTCTTCATTCTCCAGATTTCCTTAATTGCCTTATAGTCTCTCATGATATGGTATGAGATTTACAATGTGTGGTTTCTATTTATTTACAGTAAACCACATAGTAGTTTGAAGCCAACTATTAGTGAAGAAAAAAGTTATGCCAGTCCCTAAAAAAGTAATCCTAGAGCAAGCTATCTGAGTCCCACTGGCTTTGAATTTTGTCATACAATGGGTCCTTTTCAAATTATGCAGTGACTAAGCAAACTATTCCACCTTGCCATGGCCCCTCGCTATTTCCTTAAGGGACTTATTCCCAACTATTCTGTCCTGTGTGCAGCAGAGCTGCAAGCTAAACAAGGCAAGCAAATCAGGTACTTTACTCTTGAGTATGTCTTGTCTGGTTTCATGTTAAACAGTGACTGGGTTTTTGATAAAATACAAATGAAAACCCTCTGCAGTTAACAGAAACCAATGTGTGAATTAACCAATAACTAATATATTACATCCTTCCCATATGTTTCCTCATCTGTTGGATTAAGGTGAATTTACGTTGGTGGGCTGTTTATTGACCTACTGTATACATGAAATCTGAAACAGTATGTAATTGTTTCTGTCATTTATTTGGTTAATCTGTTTCATTATTTTATTTTCACCAGGCAATCACATTTTTGCAAACTCTTCTTTGTCGGATCTGGCTGTTGGCCTTATCCTCCTTGCCTTGTCCTTGCTAGTGCTTTGTACCTGCTTAATCCTTATCGTGAAACTGCTTAATTCCATTCTCAAAGGACAAGTGGCAGCAGTTATCAAGAAGATCATCAACACAGGTAAGACTCTTATTTTGTTTGAAAGACAAAAATAATTTCCTTTGCCTTACCTTTAAAATATTTGCAAGTACAAATATAGGATTCACATATTTACCTAAATTTCGTACTGTAGTCCAATGAGAGAAGCAGTTTTAGCTCATTTCCAAGCAGCAGATTAAATTTTCAATGGAATTCAATTGAAATGAATCATTTAGAAATGTGATACACAGATACGCACCTGCAACCTAAATAGCCCAATGAACCATGATCAAGAAGCATAAAGGGCCCCTTCTGGCTTTTTCTAGAGAGGTCTATAGACTACATGAGTGTAATAATAGCAATCAAACTCTTTTGACCAGGACTGTATCACACACATCACGTGCGTCTCAATTTAGGAATGCTGCAGTCGCATGCCTTAAACTGCATTCAATATATTACACAGGACTAGTAGATGTGGTGAAAGGTAATATGGGTGATTTACATCTAAATATGCAAACTGAGAATCCATATCTAAATCTGAGTACACAAAAGCCTATTTTTAAGCACTCACCCCGACTAAGGGCAGATATGTCAAAGATTGTCTTCAACTTAAAATTCTGACCTGCTTTGGCTATCTCATGTACAGCAGATTATTATTTATTCCTCCTCATCCTTGAATGGGATAGATATATACTGTATATATTCTTAAATAACCTTAAAGCAAAATTCTAATACATCATGTCATGGAAATGAACAAATTTCTATGTTTCATTATTGTTCTTACAGATTTCCCATTCCCATTCGGTTGGGTGACTGGATATATTGCCATTCTGGTTGGAGCAGGAATGACTTTCATAGTCCAAAGCAGCTCAGTGTTCACCTCCGCCATTACCCCCCTAGTTGGTAAGTGATGTGCGGTATTTTCCTTGGTGTTATGACTCTATGCTTTATAAATATAGTCTTCACAGACACTTGTCAGAATACTTATTTTCCTCATTTCTTTTTCCTTAACAGGCATCGGAGTCATAAGCATAGAGAGAGCGTACCCACTAACTTTGGGTTCAAATATTGGTACAACCACTACATCTATATTAGCAGCTATGGCAAGTCCTGGAGAAACACTTGCCAACTCATTGCAGGTCAGCAATGACCTCTTTCAAATTTCTGAATTGTCATTCCTGATTTTTTTCCCCATATCATTCGGGGTAATATCTAGTTCCAAATCTCATGCTCTAAGCAACCTCATACTAATTACACTTGCAGTTGACTAATTGTAACAAAAAAAGAGTGAGAAACTCTGATACATTTTGGTATCAATGCTGATTTCCTTTTGTTATTTTTTATTCGCAGATTGCTCTGTGCCATTTCTTTTTCAACATCTCTGGGATTCTGCTGTGGTACCCAATCCCTTATACACGTATTCCTATACGTATGGCCAAGGCACTGGGTGATCGTACTGCTAAGTACCGGTGGTTTGCTATCATGTACCTGGTGCTCATGTTCTTGATCATGCCTCTTACTGTATTTGGGCTTTCAGTGGCAGGCTGGCAGGTCCTTGTTGGAGTTGGTGTTCCAGTTGTGGTTCTCATCGTGGCTGTGATTATTATTAATATCATGCAGTCCAGATGGCCACAATACTTGCCCAAGGTGCTGAGGACCTGGGAGTTCCTCCCCAAATGGATGCACTCTCTGAAGCCTTGGGACAGGGTGATCACCTCTATGCTATCATTCTGCAGAACCCGCTGTTGCTGCTGTTGCAAGTGCTGTAACAAAATCAGCAGTGAAGAAGATGGAACTGGTAAAGAGAAGAGAGGATCGCTTGAAATGTATGACAACCCAGCATTGGAAACTGATGAAAATTGTCACAAAAACACACAGATTGAGGCAAAAACAACAAATTTGTAGCACTGCTCAATTTAAGTTTAAAATTTGAAACTTTTTAAAGCATGTAAGGGGTTTTCTGTTAAGGAATAGCCAATTCTGTTCCAGCTCCTGAACCCGATGACATCAAACAGCGTCAACTTTGACCTCAGAGAAGAACTAATGTAAAGAATTTAAAAATCTTGAAAAAAAGTTAATGCAAAAAATGACTAGGCAAAACGATGCCAAATTGAAGATACAGAAGAAAGGTGTTAATGCATTGGATATTTTGAATATTTATATTAGTCAGAAGAAATTTTAACAATGATGGTAATAAACAAATGTGCTTTGGTAGCATAGGACAAAAGTAAAGAACTAGATGGTTTCATTTTTACAGGGTTATGAATACTTTATGTTTTTGTATACATTTAAGTATACAGTATATATAAGAAGGATTTCATTTATGTGTCTTAATTAAGGGGAACGAACGTGGGCAACTGATTTATTGAAATTATTTGGGAAATAATTATGAGATCATGAGACCAACACAAAAAGTATGACTCATCCATATCTTGTGTTTTATGTGTATATAAGTGCTGTTCGTTAAATGAATAATATCCCCAAAACACAAATCACCTTCTCAGTGATCACACAGTACATTTGTGAACTACCTATAGAGACAGTTTTTAAGTCTCACAAAGAGAAAACAAAAAACTAGTCAAAGTAGTGAATCAGATACTGTACACCTGACTAAATCACAATCTTGTTCATTTTTTGTTAAGAAAACTAGGAGGAATAGGGACTACAAGTGAAAATTATGAACTAAAGTCTAATTTATAGCGTTCAACCTTCAATATTTGTTTAGAAATATGATTCATGAAAAATGTAGTAGTGTAAATTATGCAAATTGAGCAGCACTGAATTCAAGTCTATATGATAAGTCACTGGGGCTGATTGCAGGGAAAATGGTCATCATATCAGCAGATTTGTAGACTTCCTACATTGCTCACTTTGCAGATACTGTAGGTCTCATAGATTGAGAATACATGTCTTACAGCAAAAGTTTGTCATACAGTCACATTTAATTCACAGCAGTGGCTAATCTGACTTCAAGGAGTCAAAAGCCTGCTGTGTATTTTAAATAGTCATTATCTGCAATAAAATGTATATACGTTTTTTTTTATTTGCAAATTCTCTTTTGGAGAGAGATTTTTAAAGTGTTTTGCTCTAGATTTCATTAAATAAATTCTAAAAGTTTGGAAGTGCAGATCTTTCAAACAACATGTGCAAGCATTTTCTTCCAGTTGTTTTTTCATCATTTTAATTAGTCTCTATGGGGAAAAAAGGAAAAAGTGGAGCAAACTTTGCACAGGTGCAAAATGTGGTAACATTTTAGAGTGGGGGTTACAAAAGCTATTTGTAAATGTTTTATTACTTATTAATGAAACATATTAATAAGGTATTAATAAAACAGGTTGACTAATGGCAATAATTAACCTCTTTTGTAGATTAATTGCTTTGTACTATCAAAAACCTATTTATTTTATTCAGTCATAAACTGTAATCTTCTTATTACTCATCTACAGTGTGACCACAAATTGTTGGAAGTTGTTTTATTTATGTACGCTATAGGTGTTAATAGTCATATGCGCTTGAATGTGCTGTTGTGTTTTTTTTTCTTTTTTGGAAAAGCTATGCAAAATATTTAAGTTTCTATTTATGCCAAAATAGAGGATATATACAGAGTTTACAAAATAAATGCGTATGTGTTTATATCTACAGTATACTGTATAGATATACTATACTGTATAGACATAATTGCTTTTTTGAAAATATATTCAGCATTCAGTGCTGCTTTTATTATGTGTTTATATATTCCCTCTTTAAGGAATTTGTAACGAGTTTCATTTAAACACCTTTCTTTCTCATTTCTCTTCCTGTCATAAATGTTATGGAGACATTTCTGAAATCATACTTCCAGAGAACATACAAAACAAGGAAATAATCTTTGCACCATGTCTTTGCTTATCACTAATCCTGATTCAGTACTTTTATTTTTTTATTGTGTCACAATTTCTCATTCAGTTTTTCAGTCCTTTTGTGCAGGGGAGGTAAGCCTAACACTGTGATCAGAAACAATAACTTTAAGTATCACATGGACAATTTACATAGGCACATACAAAGAAAAGTCCACAATCTCAGTGTTCTGTACATGCAGAAATTTAAATCAATCCAAAATGCCTGTACAACTGAAATGTCTGTGTTTTACTTGGATTTATTTTATTGTGCCCTGAAATTATTTTTGGATTTTGCAACATTTTATTATACTGTGAGCATGTGTAATTACTGTAACCACTTGTATCAAAATAAAAGTGGCTTTGAAAATAAGAATTCCATCTTTCAATAGTTCTTTTTTAGTATTCAGAGTATTAGAACCATAAATAGAGAAGTCAAGGAATAGTAACTAATTATCTACGAATTTGTCAAGAAAAACACTCAAAATTGATATTTACACAATCTCGTCAAAATTTTCCTACTGAAAAACTCCTCACCCCTGCAATTATTTTCCATGTCAGATCCAAGCATTATTGTAAAATGTTTGATGTTTATTTGATATGTTATGTTTCAGTTGTGGAAAACACTGTGGTTCTTTAATAAACCCATTGCACCATTGTTATTTTGAAGAAGCTAATTATTGTACTTATTTTTATAGACAGAAAAATCAATTGAAAGCTATTTCAGTTTCTGTGATGGGCATAGTTGCCGTAGAAACAGAAGACCTACTCTGTAGTACAAGTAATCAATATTTAAATGTATAGTCCAGTTTAGAGGATTTAAAGACTAAAACATTAAGCAAAATATATCTACGCAGTTGAAATGTTTAATTTCAATGTTTAATTTTTGGTGACATTATGAGTAAAAAAGAAAAACTTAATATGTTTCTTTACTTGAACACACACTGTTAAATGACTGCAACAATAATATCTTTACATTAATATGGCTCTGTGTGACATTTTGGCTCAGTTCTAGCTCCTGTATAAAAAATGTAAATCTGAGCCACACCAATTTATTGTCCGACAGGCCAAGGCTAGAAACATGGTGAGCTGGTGAGTTATGAAAGTGAAGTAAACCATGAATCAGGCTATTAATATCACTATAAAAGTGAAAAACACTTTGTCTTTCATTAGCTTTGTAATTTAGCTATATAAACCTCTGATGCTAATTGGTTTGCTTTATTAACTTATGTTTTAAAACTTTATGTTTTTAAATTTACAGATACATATCTGTTCATAGCTGATAGCTGATATCTCACTAGTCGTTTGGAAAATATTTGTGTGCTTCTTACAAGTGCTGATTTACATGTGTACTGGGCTACGTGGCTGTCAGTGCAAGGTAATGGCTTTGCTCACAGCCTGGGACTTTCCAACCAAACTCACATCACCATGTTGCTTTGAAATGGACTTACAAATGTGCCAGACAGTACCAGATTGTGTAATGGCTTTGTGTAATACTGTATATGAGAACATGAAGCTTATTTACAATGAGTCCAGGTGAGACAGATGCAGGTTGATTTTATCAAGGATTATTTTATATCCAGTGGTATTTTACAAATCTTTATGTATAATTTGTCTTCTTTCTGTTTCTGCCAATGAAGTTTCATTTTCCATTAGAAGTAACACTGAGTTTCTGCAAGTTAGGATATATAAATATATTAATTTTGCCAGAGCATACGATTTCTGTGACATTAGCTGTTTTGCTATACACCATAACTTTTACTTTATAACTTTATTGTCCATCCAAAAGGGTAGAAACTTGTCATTGGCATCTCTATACAAAACTACAAAAAGCAACTCTCAACAAAAAATAAATACACATTAGTCCTAGACATTCAACAATATATGCACACACATCTCACTCTGCCCATATTACACTACCATTACACATAATCCGATAGCTCCATATAGGAAACAGTCAGTTAGCTGAGTTTAATATACTGACTGCACAGGGAACAAAGGATTTCTTGTATACATTTTCCTTTGTCACGGGAATTCTAAAAGGCCTCCCTGATAGCAGGTGGAAATGGAAATGAAGAGGCTGGGAGAGGTCATCAATGATAAGATGATATTTCTTTTGAACTGCAATAAGCTGTTTGTGTGGTCAACCAATTACTAGAATAATTAACAATTCTTGGCAATTTCCCTTTACTCTTAATACTCAAGCTACCATGCCATACCACAATATCAAAAGTAGATGTTTTCTACTAATATTTTAGAAATCCTTTCTAAAACATTTTGACTCATCCCAAACCCATTCAGCTTTCAAAAACATACACTGACTAGACTTCTTAAAAATGAATTTGGTATTCCCTGCAAAGTTTATTAATCTTTTACTGTTCTTAAATATTTGACTGATATAGACTGATTAATTAGGGAGAGAGTTAGAAAATCTAATGTATTACAATCACATATAGCTAGTTCTTTTTATCAATATTAATGTGAAGTATACTTGAGTGACACCACCTTTCCAGTTTTATATATCTGTTCAAAGTAATTCTCCACCCCTTCTCAGTCAGATCCAGTAAACAATCCAATTTAGGGCCATATCATCTGCGTACTTTAACAGATTAACAGAAGTTCTATGCCTTTTCTTTTCATGTTTAGATACACGTGGAAAATAGTAAAGGTGAAAAAACACTGCCACGGAGAACACCAGTATTTAAAACAATTCCATTTTACAATGTAAAAAATAAATAGCACAATGTCCATAAATCTGGAGAAAATGTTTGCAAAAAAGATTACATCTGCTTTAGAAAGCACCTACAATGTATTTCCTGTTTAAATGTTTTATTTTTTAGTGAAGCAGATATCTCAGATAATGACACTCAGTGACCTAGAAGGATCACTTAGAGTTGTACTATAATGAAAGCAGCTTGTACTTCTTAAGGTTTATGAGGCTGTGTGTTATCAGTGAGTATCTGATTTGGTTTCATAAAGTACCTTTTAAACCAGGAACTTTGCTCTCAACAGATGACAGACCATAAAGACCTCTTGACTAGTAGCACTTAATACAATTTTTTTTTTAATCTCTTATTCGGTACAATAACTGATTACATACTGTACCACACTTTTTAATATCTACTGTACCAGAAATACTAGTAAATTTAGTACATAGATTTATCTAGCACTTTACTATATCATACAACATACAGTACTACTACATACATAATATTGTATTGTAAAAATATTTTAAAACAGATTTTTTCTTTTTGTCTTTTTATTATATTTTTTACAGCAAACAACAGAGGAATAGTTACTATTCTGGCATAGCTGAGAATTAGTGTCCTTGAACTGATAAAATGTTTCCAAAATGAAATGGAAAGAGTGAGCAGTGGGCAATAAAATATAACCTTCCTTGAAGGCACTGTAATTGTATAGCTGACTGCTTATAAAAGGTAAACCCCATGTGTGGGTCAAAGAGTTTGAGTGGAGGAGTGCCCGTGTGTTTAAAGGAAGATACTGTATGCATGGTGACCAACGCAGTGATTCAATTACAGAAGAGATGTGAAAGACAAGACTTTATACTAACAGTGACTTGTATTCTTTAGTTTTCACATTTTTCTCATGATAGCATATTGTGCTTGCATTTAGAAAGCTCGTGTTATCTGCTTACACGCACACCTGTTCACAAAATCACCAACCTTATAACTTTGTACAGCCGAATTAAAGAATATTGACAAAAAAATAAAGCAAAACTCATTATTGGCTCATTATTGTCATTTGCAGTGAAAGCCTTGACCTGGAGTGTTAGGTACACATTTAATTGCAGATGTGAAATCATGGCTTGAGCCAGACATCCAAGTGGTGAACAGTAGTAGCACCATCAGGATTAGGATGAACAGCAGCACAAACTTCTTCTCATACCCAGTCTGCAGGAGTGCATCCTTTCTGATCAGAATGTGAACAGAGCAGACTGGCCTGGCAGCATGCTCCTAGAGCATGAAATTCCCCTAAACAGTGGAGTGTACAAGTGTGAAAGTCAGCAGTTATCAGCCTGCAACTCACAGCTAGCAGCCCACTGAAGCTAAGCAGGTGTGAGCCTGGCTAGTACCTGGGTGGGAGACCTCCTGCTAAAAACTAAGGTTGCTGCATGAAGTGGTGTTTGTAGGGCCAGTATGTGGGTCCCAATGTAACAGTACACAGTCTTTAATCCAGTGCCTTCCAAGTTGGCATTCGTTTAAAACAGATATAGCCATTACTGTACTAATTATATTTTCTTGAAACCAGCCATTGAGAAAAGGGTTAAGGCGCAGAATTTTTTTTAAAAAAAGGATGCTTTCAATGATGTATTATGTAAAACAGGTGCGAGGTGTGCATGGTCCCAGGAGGTCCAAAAAGGTTAATCATTTTGACACTGCAGTATGTTTTCTTTCTTTTTAGCCTGAATGTAACATCTTTTGTTATTTATTTCAAATATTGTCTATTTAGGGGAAAACAGGATTCTATCTAGTTCATTGTTTACAAATCACGTACAAAGGCATCAACAGTTAAACAGTTATATATCTATCATGAATAACAAGGTTTCTGAAAAATAAATATTTTGCTCACCTATAAGGTGTATTGTAGACCTAGACTGGTTCTGTGGCACTGAAAGACTGCAAAAGTTAATAATGCAAATCCAAAACTTTTAAAGATTTCCTGCTATACTGTGGCTGGTGCATCATAAGTATAACCGCCCCCCCGCGTCTTCTGTAAATGAGAAATTCCAGTTTGCCTGCATTGAGCATAAACTGAAACTTACCTACAAGAAAAGCACAGAATATTCACTGTGCTGTTCAGCAGCTTAATAATATAATGTTATAATAATATGTTTTAGAAACACTTTAGGCACATTGAAAGATTTATTTGGGGTACATAAAAATATTGTTTTTGAGTAGCATTTTCCTTAATATCTTAGCTCTTATAGACAGAAAGGTCAGTTTTACACAGTGCAGGTATATTAATTTACATGTTTAACACTAACTGTAAACAAATATACAGATCATTATCAAATATATTTTTATACTGCAGATTCCAAAAATGGATAATGTGGATAATGATTTTGTTTCAATCTGTGTGGGCCTGCAAATTAATAAAATTAACGTTTACCTAAATCACAGCTTCAAGTTTTTTTAATCATAATGAATAGTGTCTTGGCACGAAGTAAAAATGTCCATGTGTTCTCCAAAACAAATTGTACCATGGTAAATAATTCCAATGAAAGTGACTTGTTAAAGAACAGAATTTGATTAAAAAAATACTTGTTCCCTTAGAGCAGCTGTGCACAACTCCTGTCCTTGAGGGCCACAATCGAGAATTTTATAGGTCTCTATAAATCATCAACAGCTAAAACACACAATTATTACAAATAAGCCAACACAGTTCAACTGCTAAGTTAATACTTCAGACGTAATGATAACAAGGAAAACCTGTACCTCTCACAACACCAAAGTTGTACAAAGATGTCCTAAACAAAGGCTCCACAAAAGAAGTCCCACAGCCAATAAAAGTCCATAGTCCCACTAGAGTAAGAGTTCAAAATCATTCCAGTTAATCCTTCATGCTGGGATGATACATAGTTCACTTAATAAAGTGCAGCTACATCTACCTTTTGTTTTTTTCCCATTTTTTTTTCCTATTTTAATAACCATACCACATCACTTTAATAAATTACAATAGACATTTTCATAAAACTATGACTTGCAATTGAGATACAATATGCATATATCAATATAGAAAGTATATTTAAAGTACTGTTAATCCTAATTGAACAACTGGATCATTGTCATTTTCTAAATGTAATCCTCCATCATTGTGTACCAGTTATACAGCACAGACCAGTATTGAAAGGTAATTGCATATTCAGAAGCAGTTCAACAGGTATGGAGTTAGGATTCAGTATCTGTTCATACCCTGTGATAACATCTACTGGGAGAAATTATTTGAATTTTATCATTTCTAAAATAGGATGTAATGAAAGTATTAGAAGAACAAGCCAGATCTCCAGTACTTTATATAATGCTTATGTCTGAAAGAACAAAAGTGTTTACAAGTAAGTAATATGGACCTAATTCCAGTGTAGTAGTTAGCATTGCTGCCTCATAATTCTGGGGCTCTAGGTTCAATTTCAGACCTCAGGTGCTATCTATGTGGAGTTTGTATGTCCTCTCCAGGTTTCCTTGAGTTTCTTCTGGGTGCTACGGTTTCCTCTCACAGCCCAAGGACATACTGGCATTTTAACTGGCTTCTGGTTAACTGGCCCTGGTGTGAGTGTATGTGTGTTGCTGTGTCTGTGTGTGCCCTGCAATGGACTTGCATCCCATCCAGGGTGTACCCCACTTGCCAAGATAGGCTCCGGTTACCCCACGACTCTAGACTGGATGAAGTGGTTGGAAAATAAATGGATGGGCTGAATTCCATTGTCCTTATCTTAGTTTTGGAAGTCTCATGACAGATATAAAAAACAGGAGAGGGTAAAAGGCAAGGTAATTGCCTGACGCCTTGTGAAAGAGACTTTGGCTGGATGTTCTAAAACAAGGTCAGTTATTAGTAATATTTATCACAGGGATGTTAATGCATTATTTTAAAGTGTCATTAGAGTCTGGAGGTCATTAATGGGTTACCTATTAGAGCATGTCAAAAAGCAAGGACAACTTAATCTTTTCATTATGGATGAAGATACCTGATCATTTTATTAATATTTTTCCTGAATGAGGAAGGACATTAAAATCAGGACTGATTGATTGCTGGGCCATACACAATAATACACAATTACATACTTCTAATTATTTAGCAACAATTATGTGTGTACTCTCAAGTAGACCACTAACTTTGATAGATGTATAATCTATGTAGAACAGTCTGTGATGAATTGAAAGTTTGTAATCATGAAATTGTAGGGGTATCACATCTGGAGGTATTGTTCAGTAATGTGGTAATTGCAGGAGATTTTCATAGTCTTTGGTCAGTATAACTTCAATATAATCTTAAAATACATAATTTACATACTTAAATTCCTACATTCAGCATTACTTATCTCATGCCATCATCAAAATCAGCATCTTTTTAACATGGCATCTCACATCACACAAAGAACCAAAGTTTTTAGAGAGTGAAAATATTAAATTTATACAGCAAAGGCTCTTGTGTCACAAGATACATCAAAATCAGAGGATTTTCCTTTCATTTAAAAAAAAATTGATTTACATTTAAAAAAAAACATTAAAAATAACTTAATAAACACTGTAGTATGTCACAATTTTTTGTGGCGGGAGTGCTGTTTAGAGATCTTTTTTACAACAGATGCATCACAATAACAACACATAGTATGCATAAGCATACCCCCAGCAGTGTAAAGGCCCATTCCTCGACATGTTGACTGCGTAGTAGCTTTAGAAGGGAGCAAACCAGGTGGTTAACTCTGGACTTGAGCAACCTTAGCCAGCAGGTGCTGTTGTGCCTGACTGGAATGGCAGGAGAAACAGTGTACTCTGCTGGATGTGTGATGTTCTCATTAGTGTTACTCCTGAATGAGGTATTCACATACTGCTGTGCAATTCCATCTATAACACAATGAAAAAGCAGATTAGCACTAAGGAGTTTAAATGATGAAAAATAAGATTTCTCCTTATTTTAAAATTGTTATTTAAACAGAAGAATAATATTAAAACATCAAAAACTGTAATCTTCCTACAACATAATTAATTGCACATGCAGTGGTCTAATTGGAGCCAAGCTAATAATGCTTTTGTCCTGTCAACTTGCTTGAGAAATGACCTGTTTAAAATTAGGCCCATATGAACAAATTATCAAATATTTTGCTAATTAAAAACAAAATAAAATTTAAAAACTTACAAAAATCTTAAACCACATATAAGAAAAGTGAAGATTCTATATGTACTGTATTGTGAAATACAGAAGACATGTCCTGACATTTCAACATGTTATTAATGCCTGTATTGTTAGACTATGTTGTACATGTTGTGATGTATTATTATTATTATTGTTATTATTATTATTAGTAGTAGTAGTAGTAGTAGCAGCAGCAGCAGCAGCAGCAGAGGTCAAAATATATACTTGATTTCCTAGCAATCTTGTGTGAACAGCACCCCCAGGTGAGTAATTTAAAAAGTACAAAGAAAAGTCTGATAAAAGTTTCTTTTTCCTTGCTGTATTTTCCCCCTTCAATAATAAACTAAAATCATCTCTTGAAAATGCTCATTCAAAAGGACTAGAAATAATGTAAAAATTCAAATTTGCTTGTGCACAGCGAATCACAGATTTTCATCTTATCTTCAGATTTCCTGAAGCCAATTATCCTGTAAAGCACTGATCTAATTGTAATCAAAAAGATGAAAAATACTGCATGCATATCATTCTCATAGCCTCTTTCACCTCTACATATTATGTCATGGAAATAACTCCACAGGCTAATTACAGAAGAGTGTTTAATTTTTAGCTTAATATTTCGTATAAACTGAGTTATTATGGAGGAAACCATGTGTGACTTGTGTATTTTGTTTCACTATTTTGTGGAGTTTGTAACAGAAGTTTGAGTTAGATCTTAATCTCACATACTTCCACACACCTACTGTACATATACTGTAGAAGTCTCAAGCCCAGGTCTTCCCTTTGCGTATCTCTCTCCCTCCCAAACTACCCATCTACACCCTTGCAGTAAGCTCCCTTGCTCACACCTCACAATAGTTGAGTGGGAGTTTGGGCATTATCCTCACAGCTAGACTGCCATTCACTCAGCTAGGTGAGTCACGTCAGATACATTATACAGTGATATTTCATCTATCACATTCATTTTGATCTAACTGAACTACTAACAAAGCAACTGCCATGTCATAACATTTCCAACAGTATAAGAACTGTTGAATATTGCTTACCTGTAGCTCTTTCGCATTCAATGTGTTGTACCAGAAAGGTAATAAAAGTTGCAGTAATGACACTGAAAGTGAGCCATGTCTGTAAAATATAAAGGCTGGTATTTACCAAAAATCAAAAGACACAGCATTAAACCAACACAAAAAAATATCCACATACCAAGGAAAATAATGCTGTATTATTCATAATTTTTTTCCATGTGGTTTTCATCTGAATTCTGAACAAAGCTAAAGAACATGGGGATAACAATACTTCACGATCCAGGTCTCTGCATCTGGAACAACAAACATTATGATTAACACACAGCAAATGCATAATAATTAAAACCAACTAAAGAGGTAATCTGGAGCTGTGGTAGCTCAGACAGCAAGGGGGGTCAAGCTGCTGGCTGGAAGGTCCCGGGTTCAATCCCAGGTAGAATTCCTCTCCTTCTTTAGCCTTTCCTCATTTCTTCCTCCCCCTATCATCATCACTTCTGTTCCACAGTAATAATGCCCTCATTCTGTTATGTTCCAAAACACATTTCTCATGTCTTATATTAATGTTTGGAGCTATGAATGATTTTCAATGAAGCCTATAAAGACTTCATAGTTAAATGAATGGTAAAAATGTTCCACAATAATTGATTTACTGGAAAGAAGCAGTGTGGCACAGTGGCATAGTGGCAAGCATTGCTACCTCGCAATGCTAGAGCAGTGGGTTGAATCCTAGATCTGGGGTGCTACTGTATATGTGTGGAGTTTGTATATTCTCCCTGTGTTTTTGTGGGTTTCCACTGGGTACTCTGGTTTCCTCCCAGAGTTCAAAAGCATATCAGTAGCAAAATTAGCTTCTGGGAAAACTGGACCTACTGTAGGTGTGAGTGTGTGCATATCTACAGTATATATTTGCTTTGCAGTGGACTGACATCACATCCAGGGTGTACCCTGCCTCGTGCCTGTGACTGCAACCTTGAATTGGATGAATAGAAAAATAAAAAAGTAACTGAATCCAGTTCAAAATACCTCACATATGTCCAAAAACAAAACATTGTTTATTTCAAGACATTAGTTTTCAGCAGAAAGAAAAGAAATCATACACGGTAGATCAAAGATAGCATACCTTTTATAAAGCTGTTCTAATGTAAACGTTTTTCCCAGCTGTTCATCCTCATCAATTTGTAATTTTTCTAAAATGTCTTTGGAAACAGTATGTCCTTCTTCAATTAACCCTGCTAAGTTAAATATTCCCTGTAAAATAATAATAATAATAAATTAATACATGCAGGTATGAACATATACGTGTTGGCTCTGTAACTGCTACGGTTTCATGGCAATAAAATAACAAGCAAGCATGACCTCTATCTTACTCTGTGTATTTCTTTCAATAATGCACATTTTAGAACACAAGAAAGGTAACAAGTGACAGGAGATAATTTGGCCCTTCAAGTTCATTTTGTTACTACCAGTTAATTGACCAAAGAATCTCATCCAGACATCTTTTAAGGAATCAAGTGTATCATCTTCAACAAAATATCTGGGTAGCTTATTCCAGATTCACACAACCCTTTGTGTGAAGAAGAGTTTTCTGTTCTCAGTTTTAAATATATATTATTGTAATTTGCTTTTGTGCTCAAACTTTTTCACATGTTGATGTATTTAACATTCCTACAGCATAACAGTTTTATCAATTACACTAGTTAATATTATTTTAACACTGAAGAGATCCATGAGGAACAAACGGTACATAACAGATGAAAAATGATATACATGCAATCAAGCAATGTGCTATTCTCTCTGTGAACCTAAAGTTACGACAATCAGTTAGCTTAAGTGTTTCAGCATTGAAAATTCCTTGCCGGAATTAATCTTGACAGATGTCACAAAGATCACATAAGAAGTCATCCACTTAAATTTAAAATAAGAAATCTATGAAAAAAACTGGTGAAAGTTAATGTTGATCTGAAGTAAATTTTGACAAATATTTTTTTATTGTTATATAAATATTCTTTCTCACATAAAAGTGTAATCTGTGAATAAAAATGGAATACTTTTAAATGTCCTTATGAAACTAAAGATGTTTCACCTAATACCTCCTGAATTTTATAATATCTGGTAGGTTTCCATAGTAGAGACCAAAATCCAGCTGTCTTTTTATTAATATTCAATCTTTATGTACACGTACATCTGTTTACAGATCTTCATAAGTAAGTCCCAGTTTGATAAAATACAACAATAAAACAGAATATCTGATGATCCCAACATAATATATGATATATACAGAAAGCAGATATCTCACCTGAGAACTGTCAGCTAAAGCAGCATAAGCATACATAGAACTAGACAAGGGAATGTCTCGCGATTGATTTTTGTGCCCATAGTAGTAATAGTCTCCCATTTTCAGAAAACCTGTCAAAACAAATACATTTATTTTTTACAAATGCAGAGTGTACACTTTGTATAGTAATATAGCAGGGATGGAAAGAACTTACCTAAAGTGGAACCAAAGTAATGCAAAGTGGAATGATTATAGTATCTCCATTCACAATCATAAGTAGAGAAAAGGCTGTGAACCAATTCCTGTAGGGAAATCAACAACTGAGAATCAGCCAAAGCTTTTTTCTTACAGTTAGGGAAGCATACAAATTTGGACATAGAAACAAAACATAAAAAAGCAATTAGTTTATGATATCATTATGGCATCGTATGACATTGGCTATAAAATACATAAGCATTTATTTATTTTAATTTCAATTTCTTGGAATATTTAAAACTACAAAGATGAACATCATGAGTATTTGGATGTTAAAAGTCACATATTTAAGAATTCTTACAGTGTTCTCCTCACAGATATGGGCAGTATTTGTCTGTGCTACTTCCATTCCAGTCTCAGCAGCTATAAGGTAATTCAGAAAAGCTTCTTCCCTAAAATAGATTAAAATATAACATCCTCTTTAAAATGAAAGAAGTCTTTTGGTTGAGATGCAAGTAAGAGATCCCCAGATCATAGCTACAGAGTGAGAGCTAAAAGCAACAAACTAGCAAGTAAATTAAAATTTTGCATCCAATATATATTTGTTTTCTTTTTTGGTGCTAGAATGCAGCTTAGCCAACTAGTATAATAAGTAGGGACTTTGAGAAGTCAGACAGAGCTCCAGGAGCCTGTAGACTTGTTTTGGGGTTTCTTCTCTGCAGTTTTCTCAGATGTACCAGTACCCTTGTCCACAAGAGTGTGCTCTCAAAAAGAATGTGAAGTTCACATTCTCCAGTATATGTACCCCTATGGGGCAGCAAGGTGTTGTGGCTCTTTTATGTGGGTAGGATCTCAAAAGGTATACACTTAGAAAGCTATGAGGTACAAAATACTGCCCTTTTTATAGAGTGTAAAGACACAGACTCTTTTAGGTACTACTTTGAAGTATGTGCTTGTTATACTAGGAAGCTATGTTACATACTGGCACTGAAGAAATAACAGTACAGTATACCACACACATAAATCGTGTCCACTCCCTCACTAATTTGCTTGTTGCTTACTTCCAGCTTTAACTTCCCAGCTTTGCCTGTCTCTTCTCTTGTTCAGACAACAGATATATGAGTGAGTATAGATACTTTTTTCTCCTAATTACTGTATATGCAATCATCTGACAAACTGTTTCTGTACGTGTGGCCAGATGACAGCATGCAACAGGTCACCCGCATAGTCTGCTGGCTTAATACAATTTAATGCAGTGAACAAATTCAAAACACTAAAAAACATATACACAACACTAAAAAACACTATGTTTTAGAAGAATGTGCAAAAATAATAGACTAAAAATAATTTTATGTGATTATCCAGAATCTTTGAAAATTCTTTGACTCCTCCCCACCTCCCACAGAGCATCAGATAAAGATAAATATACAGTATACATTTACAAACACACACCCTCTTACGACAGCTATCCTTTGAGAGGAAGCCTGAGAGGACATCTACCTCTCTCATACAGTAACTGTCCCAACAAGAGAACAACAGACAATAAAGACAGGTGGAGGAATAACAGATAATGCTGCAAGTTTCTTCCACCTACAAAATTCTAGGAGTTGCTGTTGAGAAACAAGAAGAGAGCATCCTGCCAAAATGAATTTCATTCAACTCCAATGGCACTGTGTGCTACCATGTGGGGAAACCACTTTACAGCAAGTTAATAGCATAAGCAAGTTTTTAGATTACCAATGAATCAACTACAGAGATCCCAAAAAGGATGCTTACCAGATGCTTACTAAATCACAAATGTATTTTTGCAGCATACATTATGTTTAAGAGTTGTAAACCTTTCTTACCAAGATCCTTTCAGATATGCATTGAGACCTCTTCTGATAATGTATCCTAAATAACCATTTTGCTCACAAATGTTTTTCAGAAACCTGAAAAAATAGAGACATTTACTGTAAGTAAAAACTGGCTTTAAGTTCACAAAAACGTTCAAATCATTCAACATTTTCCATTTTCAGAATCCTTCTGGTAAAACCTACAGAAAAGTTTATCATTGGAATTTAAGTGTTAAACAGATCATCCCTCTTAAACAAATATTTTAAATTATGGTTGCAAATAAGAAAATCTGTTCACAGTAAATTTAAATCCAATATTCAAAGGATAAAAATACTAAATGAAACACAGAAGACCAAAAAAAATACAATAGTGTGATTTGAAGGGGACACTGTCCAAAATACTGCATTAGAAATACTGTTCTTCCTGGTTTATATCAGTGATAGATTTTCTGGTATAGTCAGCCAGCAAGTCAAATTCACAGATGATAGCAAGCTACGATAATTAGCAAACATTGTATAAGCTGAAATATAATTATTTTAAGCTCTTAAGACCAATAACATTAAAGTCTTACAACATTTGTTTCACACCCAACAGCATAAACATTTTAAATGTCTTACCTAACTGCTGTTTCTGGATTTCGTGTAAAATTGTCTAGATTTCCTGTGGCATAGTAGTGAGAAGTTTCAACAATGGCGTCAACATGTCCTAAAAGAGAAGCTTTCAAAAAGTGCTGAAAAGCTGCGGACTGTAAAAGACAAAAAAAGACAGACGCAGACATGGATGACTAGTTTATAGAAATAAGTAATTAAAATGATCCTGGATCCAAAGTCCAAGATAGCTATAGTCCAAGATAGATAGTCATTACTATATTTCAATTTAGACCACTTGACTTAAATGCATTTAGCCCTCTGTGGCAGTAGCTACCTACATGCTGTGGAAAGCACCTTTCTATATCATTCATAGGATAATACTGTATCTGATCATATTATGATCTAACTCACTTGTGTTTAATGATGATTTACAGTAACAAATGATGGCAGCAGAATTCAATCTGAAGTTTATAGAAACATTGGTCAAGTTAGTTTCCAGATCTAAATTCACTTGAGCATGCATTTCACATGGTGAAAAAAACTGAAGTGAGAACACCCTAAGAATAGGAAAGAACTTAAAGTGACTGTGGCAAAGCACCTCAAATGACTGCATAAAGAGTTTGGGATATGCAACTGAATACTGATTATTATGCTCTAGAAAGTGATGACCATGTCTTGTGGTGATCTGAAATCACCGGGTTGAAAACAAAGCTTTTTTTTTGTCATAATATGATTCAATGTTTGCATTTTACCACGCAAAATTAAGATGTACATTATATGGTGCTTTAATTCATATTAGAAGATGGATTAATGTTTTAGGGCATAATCCCAAACGTAATTCTAATCCTCTGAAGGGTACTTGGTTTTTCGAATTTCACTTTGTCTTCTGCACAAGTACTCTAACCATTATGGTATCTGTGAAATATTCATAGCCTTTGCACCGCAGGGCTGGTGTGGTCTGCCTGTGTTAAAGGAAGTGAAGCTGGCCTTTTGTTTTGAAATTGGGAGGCTTTAAAGTTATAACTGTATACAATCAATGAGTTTGTGTTATACACATTATGCAAACAAACAATGGGTTTGGTTGCCTCTGGACCCATTTCCAAGTTACAAATTTTCACCTTCAAAGCAGTGAACATATCTAGATATGCAGAACTTTAACTGTTTTTAATCCAGAATGCTTGCTATCTTCATTTAAAACGTTAGTAGCTTCATGCATACATTGTATTCAGTGAGTTTATATGTTTTAAGGTCCTAACTGAATAGTTGTTTTCAGTTATGTGTTGGACTTGTGTATAACCTCAAATAATTTTTCAAACCAAAGTATGGTTTGTCATCTGGTCATGGAAATTGAAGGGTCAGGTGTTATCAGGTTCAGGGAGAAGCCTCTGTGACCCTTCCGTCCCTTAAACCAATGTCTTCTTTTTCACCATCTCTGTTCTTCCTTTTTACTGGTTTATATGTATTTACCAAAATCGTTCCACCAAACTGGCATGTAGTAATAGTTTTGAGTGATATTTAATCAAAACGGGTCCCTTTGAATTCCAGAAAACAGTCTTTCTTTTCTGATGGGTCAGTGTATAATATCCAGAGCAATGAGGTGCCCTAATTCTTCCAGTAAATGGACTTGTTTGATTTTTTTATTGTTTGAGTCCCAGTGCTCAATTCATGTCCAATAACTTGACCTGAGATGCACCAGATGCACAAGATGATTGGATCCTCATTGAAAATATCTCTAGATTTTGGTCGGTGCTTATCTCGAGGAAAGATGTTTAGGGCTGATGTTCCAGGGACCCATGGCAGGTGGAAACACATCCACTGGAAAGACAAGACTCTCCTGCTATCTAAGCTATCTGGCATTATTCATGTTTAGACTTCGTTGATTAGTTTACATTCATTTGCTGCCCAATGTTGCCATGAAGGTCGATGCTGATGAGCATATGAAAACAGTAGGGCTTCAGGATATTGTGTTATTTTTTAAAGGATTCAAACCCCAGTACTTGGTTCAGCACCACAATATACACTCTGTAATTGCTGATTTCATTACAATTACCACAGAAATGTGTTGTGCTGGTGATGGGGAAGTGTGTCTTAATCACTGATCCTCCAGTCAAGAAGAGAACAAATAAAAAACATGTAAATGAAAGTTAAGTAATAAGCTTTCAAATTAGCCATGAACCATGTTGCAGTAATGAACTGAAATATATTAAATGTTTCAATATAAGATATATGAATTCATTATTAATATATTAATTGAAATATAACTATATCTTTTCATATACATCCTTAGATGCCTTTTTTGTGTTCCATGTGACAAGATGGAGGTTCTTGTCTGAAACCACACTTCCCAGAAGTCAATAGGGTTTGACCTGCCATCCTTAATCATCTGACTAATTAATGGAAGACAATTGCTCTGGTGACAGTTAAGATCAATAAATGGGGCGCTTCCAATATGGCTGTTATTTTTCTGCCTTCCAGGAAGAGGGCGGAACCTGTGCTATGTCCTGCTCAGAGGCAGAAGGGGGCAGAAGGAAGCAAACAGCCGATAAGCCAGTGCATGTTGTATGCGATTTGGAAGCTAAAAAGTTTTTAATTGAGAAGCAAGCTTAGTTGCCTGGCTATTGTAGAAAGGGGACACCAAGTTAGTCAGGAGCTCTTAAATGGCTTATGTATTTACTTTTTTAGTTCCCTGCACTGCAAATAAAAGGAGCACTAGTTTGTACCTTCTGGCTGTATTTGTGTGCCTGTTTTTTCTGAGACCCACTTATTTAAAGATCCATGGAAAATATGTTGATAACACTGATCTCCACTGAGAAAAACAATGTAATCTGTATGTAATATGAAGTTATAGTTTATGGTCTATCTATACTCATCTATCCCAGCTTTTATCATGCTTATGGAGCTACTTACTTCATTCTTTGATGGATTTCTCGGGTGGTAACCATTTAGATGAAATACTCCCAAATTATATAATGCATCTCGACTTCCTTTTTCAGCAGCCTTTTCAAAGTACTTCACTGCTGTCACCATATCTGCCTTAAAGGTGCTATAATACCATCCCAAACCATTGATAGCCTCAACACAGCCCTAACCAAACAAGAAAAAAAGATGTTTTAAACACAAAAGATGATTAGTTTAGACCCCTTACTTCCTTTACAATTTCATAACCTTTTCTTGCCTTTCAATAATCATGAATAGGGCGAAACACTGTGAGAATCTGTTAAGCTGCATTATATAAAACATTTAAAATGTGTTCATGTTTGCATTTAACACTCTACTGCAAATCATAGGATACCATTTAAAATGTCTTCTTCAATAAGTAACATACTTTATCCATACGCAATAATAATTGTTTCTTTAAAAGAAGGTATTTTCTAATTACATAATATCTTGAGATATGCAAAATGAACTCACCATAGATGCTGCTTTTCTCATCATTTGTAAACCCAGAGTTTTGTTCTTCTTCACTCCGTGACCCTAAATAACATTTTTTTTTTTGTAGTGGAGAGTTGTGTCAGTTTACAAGCCAGAAAGGAACAAGTAGAGCTTAATTCTATACTAAAAAGTATAAAGAAAAAAAAACACCAAGCTTTGGTGTTTGAAGACTCCATAGCCCATTTTTTTCTTTAACTTTTTAGCATGGATTTCAAGCACCACCTTGAAGTTGACCTGAACATTTATTTAGAAAATATTAAAACTGTGTGCATAGGTAATGTACAAGGCAGCAATCAAAACAATTCTTTGAATGAAATCATTTATGACTTGAAGTGGAAATCTAATAAGTAAATTGATTCTTAAAAATGTAGAGAGCTTTGAAAAAAATATATTGGTGCTTTTAGATAATATATTTCAAGGATGTAACTGCTGTGCTACAGTGCGTGCAGAATTTTAGAAAACAGTTCGTCAACAAAGTACACTGTTTAGGTTAGTTTAGAAGACAATGTACCAAAACAATATATGCTGTCTGGGTCATTAGAATTAGCTGAAAGTAACTGATAAGCTTTGATTAACAAATCTAGTTTTTCTTCTCTCGCTCTATGATGTAATCTGTTTTCTCTTAGAGAAAGGGGAAGTTTTAGAAGGGACCAAGTGCTGAACTTTTTTACAGCGCAACGTCTTATAAAAACCCTGTACTGCTTGTAACAAATTGAGTCTCTGGTTGCACTTTGCGAAGTGGCAGCAGGGCTCCCAATATTGCAATATTGAAATAAAGACTTTACTCAGGTGAGAACTCTCTCTTGTGGCTTCCTTGATAGTTATATTTCCATGACAGACTCCATTAAGATTCATCTGGCAAATTCATTGCTTGGTTCAGTTTATCAGGGCAATAAGAAGAGAAAGTTCCCACTGTTCACAGATATGCAGGGTCATTGATGCAGAGCAACAAGTGTGACCACCCAATGCCAGACCCAGACAAATGCCGTATATATGACGCATCTACTGACAGACATATCACAAGTGTTTGTGGGAGGGCATGTATTGCAAACACCTTCCAACAGCTCTTTCATAGACAGTATGCGGTTGATCAGCTTGCTGTGAAACAGGGATTCAACTCATCTCACAATTGTCCATTTGGGTGTTTACTTGGGCCATCGTGGTGCCCAATTCTACATATCAACAACGGATTAGATTTGCAGCTCTGGCTGTATACGGCCAAGCACTATCGTGTTAGAAAATGAGCTGTTTGTTTCCATGAGGTTACACTGACAGAGGAGGGATATGGTTTAGATGCAAGATGCTGTCCACATAGATTGGACAGTGAAATTAGGCTGTACGTGTTTTGCTCTGAACTAAAAATTAATTTCTTTCCACACCACCCCTACTCTACTAAAACAACAGTTCTGTGGAAATTGCTCATCTTAGTATTGATAGATTCAAAGTCATCCAACAATTTGGATTAAACCTAGATTGACCTTGAGTAAATTACATCTTCCCATTTTCTGCAAGGTAACATTCATTTGCTACCCAGTGTCGTAATGTCTTACAAGCCCTGATGACAGCAATTGCTGCAGCTCCTAAAAAGGTGTTTAATACACATGTTTAAATCACATTAACAGACAAGATTAGTCTGCTGTATGAAGATTAATGACACAGCTGCTGGCATTCCAGTATTCAACTGCTTGGCTTCTCTCTGCTAGTCTTGGAATAAGATCAATGTGTAGGTAGTTTATTAATGAGTTGGTTTTATGGGGCTGGGCTGCACATGCATCATGACATCCTCACAGTACTGACATTCTGTCAAATTAATGGACTGCTGCGTTTATTCTATGGCTATCACCATTCAGGAACAGCACAACACACTCCAAAACGTTCTCTTAAGATTCAATTTGAATTAAAATTGGCAACAAATATTATTAGATGATTTAACTACATTTTATAACCAATAACTTTATTGTATAACTCTGCTTAATGTGTAGGATATTTCCAAATAAACTGAGGCAGTCAATATTCCTTATCACCATGCTTCCTTTTACCATGTACCTACTATCTACATTTAAATCTATGCAATTGGTACAATGTAATACAAATCCCACATTTAAAAAGAAAAGCTGCGCAAAATCAACAAAGAATTTAAACTACTTTTATTATAGGGATTGTTACCACCGATATAAAATAAGTCTTATTGGCTATGTTCAAATTCCTTTATTTATTTTGGAAATGAAGTGCTTTGTAGCATACCAGTTCAAAATATCACTTCACTGAGCCTTCACTGACATTTGCTGAGCTAAAGGGATTTGTAATATTCAACGGATATGTTACATTTTTACTATACTATACCACTTAGGAAGATATACATACAAGATAAAATGTCTTACTACCAATAATCTTTTAATAAATTGAAAAAGAAAAAAATACTTAATTAGTCATGTATTAACCCTTTTGTAACTTATAATGTTTCAAAAACTAAAACATTCTTACTGAAAATAACTTCATACATTTTATCAAAGATTTCCTTTTTATATGTTTCAAATTCAGGTATTTCACACACTAGTTCTCAGAAAATTACAAATATAAGAATTTTCCCATCTTGGGCCTGTATTTTATAAAAGACTACATTAAATACCTGAATTAAGTAATTTGCATTGAAAGCAGGGAGTTTGTATCTGTGAATGTAGAATATTGAATATAGAATATTGAATATTGGATATAGAACGTAGAATACCTCACAAATGAAGTGTACAATTCACAGAAAGATGATACTTCATTAAAAAACTAAACAGTTCTTACCTTAATCAATACAACTGAGAGGTCATACATTGATTGAGCATCTTTCAGTTTTAGAGCACTTTTGGTATACCACTTTACTGCTGTTTCAATATCCTTTGACACACCATGTTGTCCCCAAAAAAGCATTCTTGCCAAGTTTCTCTTTATAAAAGAATAAACATCACAAAATCATACTTTTATCCAAGTCATTCATTGAATTATTTTTTTTAAATCAATTGGTGAGCAAGAACAGAACCTACTTGGGCTTCCAAGTCCCCACGCTGTGCTTGAAAATTGAGATAATGGAATATATCATCTTCCTCATTTGTTTGAGACTTCAGTGCCATCTCATCAGAAAGTAAGATGTATTCTGTTGTATATTGCTTGCAAAAAAATAAAAAACAACACAATATAACAGTGTAGGGCACAGGCATAAAGAAAACTCACAACTGGCAACCCACTGAAGCTGGTGTGAGCCTGGTCAGTACCTGGATGAGAGACCTCCTGGGAAAAACTAAGGTTGCTGCTGGAAGAGCTGTTAGTGGGGCCAGCAGGGGGCGCTCACCCTGCGGTCCATGTGGGTCCTAAAGCCCCAGTATAGTGACGGGGACACTATACTGTAAAAAAGTCGCCGTCCTTCGGATGAGACGTAAAACCGAGGTCCTGACTCTCTGTGGTCATTAAAAATCCCAGGGACGTAACCCCGGCGTCCTGGCCAAATTTCCCATTGCCCCTTACCAATCATGGCCTCCTAATAATCCCCATCTATAAATTGGCTTCATTACTCTGCTCTCCTCACCACTGATAGCTGATGTGTGGTGAGTGTTCTGGTGCACTATGGCTGCTTTCGCATCATCCAGGTGGATGCTGCACATTGGTGGTGGTGGAGTCCCCATTACCTGTAAAGCGCTTTTAATGTGGAGTGTCCAGAAAAGTGCCCTATAAGTGTAAGCAATTATTATTACTATTAAATAGGAGTACCAATAATCTCCTTAGCATGTCATTCAACATATTTAGTGCTGACATGTGGCACAACTGGCTATTTTGTGCAATTTCTTCAATATTAATTTGGTACAACACACAGGAAATGTTCACCTTGACAAAAGAATACTGTAATTTTCAACTAAAATATTAAATGTTTTATTTACTTCAGATTCTTGTACTTCCCACCGATCCACAGAGGTCATTTTCCCAATATTAGCATAGTAACTGTATGAAAGGTCATAATCCTGTGGGTACCCATCAATTCCTTGCATGTGCTTGTAACCAAGGTGCATGAGAGCCATCCTTTCATCTCCCTGGGCAGCTATCAAACTATAAAGATGTCCCTGTAGATGAAATAAGAAGGTCAATTACTGAATTAAGTGAAAGCAAGTTAAAATGGATTGAACACACATACAGTATAGAATACATATATGTATTTCCTATACATGCATGGTATCTTTTATATTTTTATATATATTTCATATTTAATATAGAGATTCAAGAATTAGGTAAATTTATGGTAATACTTCATGTCAATATTCCAATACAGGGCCATGCTGTGGAAGTGGTGAAGACCTTTACCTATCTCTTGAAGTATCCCCATAACACAAGGAGCAGTGAGTCAGGAATACGATGTTGAATTTATGTGCATCTGCATGTACAGTATGTGCTGGACTGAAATATCTGGCACTCAACTATATGGCTTAACACAATAGTTGTGTCTATAGATGCCTGTTGTACATCTTTTCTGTGTTATTGTACACATTGAAGACCTGTTTGACCACTTCTAACCTCAAACACCATCTGGATACATTCAACTACTGCTGTCTGCATTAGATATTGCAAATTCATATATTGCAATCCATCCCCAATGCAGAAGTCTGAGCCGCAACTAGGCAAGAGTCTGTGATGACCCTGATGAATGAAAAACATTTGCGTAATCTTTGGACACCTGGTTCACTCAAACACCTCTGAGGTTCATCTTGGAGCACTTTTTGTGGCAATGAAAAGACTTCCTGAGAACTGAAAGTGACTCCTCAGCAGGTGTGGATATACTGTATATGGTGGAGGATGACTTGTCTCCCTGTAACATCATACTGCACATTGTGTGGAGCAGAGCTAAGCACTGCAACGTTTAGCAACACACTGTGGTTACAGCAATGCCCCAGCTAGGGATTTGCCATGGCTCATAATGTATGGTAGAGGGAGATTAATATTTAAATCCTATTAATTGCATTTGCGGTGCTGGGGCTCGTTGTGTAGTGCGCTGGTCTGCGGTCGATGAGAGTCCAGGTTCAAATCCGCAGAATAAACTGCAATCGGTGAAGGTCTTGGTTCAAGACCACGGACAGTAGAGACTTTAAGGGGCAGTGCGGTGGCTCTGTGGGTGAGGATCTGCGCCTGTGGCTGGAAGGCTTCCAATTCCTATCACGCGTATCCTGTTGGACTCCTGAGCAAGGCCATTAACCCCAACTGCTCCAGGGGCACCGTAAAAATAGCTGACCATGCGCTCTGACCCCAAGCTTCTCTCCCTGTCTGTGTGTCTCATGGAGAGCAAGTTGGGGTATGCGAAAAGACAAATTCCTAATACAAGAAATTGTATATGGCCAATAAAGTGACCTTATCTTATTAGAGAGCTACAGAGACAATGGCACTAAGCCATTTTAGAAATAAATGCAGTGGTAAAAACATTAATGTTCATAAGTTCAAAACTTGAAAAATCAATCAATTTCAAAGCTACACAATAAAAACATATTATGAGGTCAAATTAATCTTAAAGATTTCACAAAAAATATTTTAAACTGGTGAGATTAGATTAGTTATGTACTTTGTTTCTTAATATACAAATGAGGTATTAAAATCCAATTATCACTAGAACAGGTAGACAAAGCAGTATACAGATTTTCTTGTACCTGTACCAAATCCACTGGTAGGCCTAGTCCTGCCTCATGAATGATAGCCAAGAAGGTGGATGCTTTATGATACCCACAGCAGCTTGAAATCTGTAAATATGGCATCAGCGAGCGTACAAGCCCAAGCCCTCCTTGCTGGGTTAATCTCTCCAAAACCATTTCATAAACATGTCTCCCAAATTTCTTTGTGACATCCATATCCCAGAAACCTTAAAAGAAATAAATCATAAAATGCATTTTAAAAATAGAGCTCAAAGGTTGTTTGCAGTGTTGCTTTAAGTATTTTAGTACCTTCCTCTCTGTACATTTGACTAAAAACTGTTCCTTCCAAGACGCAGTAAGAACACTAAATCATTTATATTGTTAAATGCAATTATTAATCATGCAGCACAACTTAACTCGAGCATGGGTCGAGGTTAAAGGTCAAAGGTTGTAATATCACTGTAGAATGTTACAGCCCATGTCCCCCAGGTTTTACACTCCTTGTTACCTCCTGAGGATGAAATAAAATTACAAAAAGTGTATAAATGCACGTGTTATGGGAAGCACATGCTTGCAAGTGAAGTAAGAGACAAGATGTAAAAAGGGTTAATAACTTAAGTCAGTTCTGCCTGAAAATTAGACTTCTAAGCAACAGGGGTTTATGGCAGGAAAGGGGGTTAACTGATAAGGATTCCAGATGCGAACAAGGAACCCCCTGGGGGCATAATCTTAAACTGACCATTTGGCCAGGGCCTCTTAACTGGCCAAATACCATG